TCGCTCCACAAAAGGTCAAAGAAGTGGATAGCTTCGTTAGCAGCATTAGCCTAGCTGTCTCCATGGAAAAGCGCCTCGGCGGGCTTGGAGTGGGCCGACAACTTCGGTGGATAGCGTGGAGTGCACCGTCGGTGGGCGGGGTAAAAATAAATACGGATGGTTCATTGATTACGTCCACCGGAATGGCATCAGCGGGGGGGCCACTGGCTGGGTGGGTTCGTCATGAATATCGAGTATACTACGATAACAAGGGCTGAGCTTTGGGGACTATTTCAAGGTCTCCTGCTAGCTTGGGACTTGGGCTTTCGGAATGTGATTGCGGACGTGGACAATCGGAGTGTCGTTGGCATGGTTTTGGGGTCGTCAACTGAGAGTTGGGGGGAGGGGGGGTGGGGGAGGTGCATGGTGCGGTAGTTCGGGCCATTCAAGAGATGTTGAGGCGGGAGTGAGAAGTGAAGGTTGTGCATTGCTATCGTGAAACAAACTTTGTTGCGGACTGTCTAACGATCTTGGCTCATTCGTGTCCTAATGGTTGTCAGAGACTAATTGATCTTCCACTAGAAGTTAAACCGTGGCTACTACACGATGTCGTAGGCGTCGTCCATCTATGGAACACCACTATCTAACGGAATTCTAAGCTACGGCCTCCGTTCATTGTACCAAAAAAAAAAATAATTTATTTTTATTACAAGGATTAACTATCTTTTTTTATATATTTTATTTTGATTTTTTTATTCTTTTGTCTTTATCGTAGCTCGCTTCAGACTAGCATGTCTGCCGGATTCATTGTCTACCACTATTTTACAGTTTTTCCTCCACCGTTTGGAACGCGGCACAGTCTGAGTCTCTTTCATTTCTCACTCTATACGTCTTCACTAGCCTTCTCGCTTACTCTCGGTAGTCTACACTTTAAAATTATACATATTTGTTTCAAGGATAATTGCAGATCTGGATCAAGCGCGGGCTCGGCCGGAGGCGGTGGCGCCGCCGACGGCGAAGGCTGATGAAGCCAGTTCTTCTTATCGTTCTGAAGAAATTTCCGTCAAGATCGAGGAAGATGCCCCTGTGGATAGTAGCGGCAGAGCCGGTGCCCCGGATCCGCTCCCTAATTGCGACGGCAGCGTCAACTCTTCCGGTGAGTCGTAGTTTTCTATTGGCAACTGAAGTTAATGAATTTGGACTTGAAGTTCGGAGGAGTTTATTGTTCGATTAATTATGTTGGTACTGAGTTGGTCGTGAAATGTGTTTTATGTTAAAAGGGAGCCACAGAGCGGTTTTTCCTAGAGTAAGTACTTTACCGCCGGAAATTCTGAACTCTGGGAAGTTAGAGCCGCCTGCGGGCCTGGAAAGATCAAGGACTGAGAGGCAAAGGCGTAATAATATCCTTGCTGAAGAGGCTGCGCAAATTTTTGATGACCGAATCTCTATGCAGCAGAAGGTAATATTGTGACTTATTGCCTATGAACTTTTAATATTTTGCTTTTTGGTTGAATAGGTCATCAGTTCTCATCCTCACAAATCCTGCTGCTGATATCCAAAATTAAGCTACAACTATTTTAAGGATTATTTTCTTTTTTTTTTTTTTTGTAAATTTGTCTACTTTTAAGGAGCTCTGTGTAGCTTGTATTAGAAATTGGTCATGTAGTTATGCTTGGTGTAGTTGCATTTTTACATGTAATATTGACAAATAATTCAGATTCATTTAAATTAACTGCAATACCTTACAAATGTTTGTTGTTTATGAAGAAGGTGAAATGTAATGCGGAATGAAATAAGAAGAGCACTTTTTATTTTCATGTTCCAAAGGCCCTTGAGTTTATGATTGGTCCAGCCTTCGTTTCCACCTCCTTTTTCTTTTGTTAGTTTTTATCACAATTTGCTCAACTCCTTTTTATTTTTTGCTCACCTGTAATTTCAGAGTTCATTACAAAATATTTCAGTCTGTATAATTGTCATGGCATGACTAGGATTTTAGTATAATGTTTAGTTCAATCTTTAATTTTTAATGAATTGGGCTCTAGGGTCTTTGTTAAATATTTAAAACATTGCAGCTCAAATTGTTGAACAGAATTGCTACCGTTAAAGATGATGGCACTGTAGAATTCGAAGTTCCATTAGATGTTGAACCTCCCGTTATTGGCGTTGGAACGGAAAATGTACGTAATGTGGTTGATGAAGAGCCTCTTGATGCTACAGAGCTGCAGGATATTCCTCCATTGCAGATTGTAATGCTTATTGTTGGAACTCGTGGAGATGTGCAGCCATTTGTTGCAATTGGAAAGCGACTGCAGGTACTTATTGCAATAGTTGCATTCGACTTAACATTCAATCTCCATGACTTATGACATCAATTTGACACTTGTTTATAATTGAAGAGTGCCATTTTGGTGTGTCAGGCTACTTTCTTAGTCTCTCATGCTTTTCTTAGTCTGTCAAGCTTAAGTTTCAGCATGTTATGAGTGTCATTTTTGCTTCCACATCGTCCAGATCTCATAGGTGGTTGCATGTCATTTTCATATACTTAATATGTTCCTCCCACGTTTTAGTAACCATCATCATATATCTGACTTGATCCGTTTTTCACTTTTCCTCTAATGTATCTCTAACTATTTGCTATGTTCCGCATAACTAATACATCTTCCAGCTGTAATAAAGCCATGTAAAACTTGGACCAAATTAGCAGAATCCAGAATCTTGCATGGTTTGGGTCTCGTTTGTGTGTTTATTTTGAGTTTATATAGGTTACATCTCATTCCATTTCATATTATACACATTTTATATGGTGGAGGAAGTAAACGTAACTTCTGAAATTCCTCCTTGGGATTTTTGTGGAATGTTGATGGTGATACTTGGGTGCAGGATTATGGACATCGTGTAAGATTGGCTACCCATTCCAATTTTAAAGAGTTTGTCTTGACATCTGGATTGGAATTCTATCCCCTCGGAGGGGATCCAAAAGTCCTTGCAGGATGTATGTTACTAACACTTTGCAGCTGATATTGCGATTGGTCGAGTCTGAGTATTTTGATTTCTTTTATTTTGTGATTTATTTTTCCTTCTATTCAGTGTTATTAATGGGGGATGGTGGTAAATGGCGGTTTGCCAAAAATCCACCATAGTGGCCGCTGTCATAACGGCCATCCTTCACAAATTTAGCATGGCGGACTCAGAAATCCGCCACGCCATACCGCCATGGACGCCATTTGATAACATTGTTTCTATTGTATCTTTCTTGGTGGTGTCTGTTGAAATAATGTATGCAGTCTGCAAGTATTGATTGATTATGGTGATTTGTGTAGTTTATTTCCTTGACTCCAACTGTTTCAACAGATGCCTGATCTATGCTATAAATGTCCTTGGTGTACATGAGCTCTGCAACAGCCTACAACATTGGGGATACAATTATGGAGATAATATTTGTTTAACTATCTTTTGTGTGATTTGGAACATATTCCTTAGATTAATTTGTCTTAGATGCTGAAAGACAATATCTTCTTGATGTATAAACGCATCTTATGTATTTGCAGAAACCTTTTTACGCTTACATGTCAGGGAATTTGCATTTAAATTAATATCAAATAGCAAATTACAACCTCTTGTTTCTTGAAAGAGGTTAAACAGATAACTCTGCCAGTTGAGGAGGATAACAATGCATAACAGCTGAATCAAATTCAATTTGATGGAATTAACATCAGGCAGAAGTTCAGTACAATCGGCTACTGTTGGGTTTCTTACTTCCTTTCATTTCTACATTTCTCGCCTGAAATCCTACAAGACTAGAGTCTAGAAGAGTTAATGCTATATCACCTGCCTTTTTCCGTGATTGATATAGCATGTTAGAATTTACTGTGTGCTTACTTAATGAAACGTGGCCTGGAGTGTTAACCACATGATTAATTATTATACACATTTGGGTTGACATGGTACAGAAGTATTTTATTATATTCAAACACTGCATTTAGCAGCAGAGATCATTGTGATGTTGTGCTGGAGCAACTTTTTTAAACTTGACATTTGATGCTTAAAATATTCGTAGCATGAAAACTGACACTTGGTTACAATTTTTGTGCAGATATGGTTAAAAACAAGGGGTTCTTGCCTTCTGGGCCCTCGGAAATACCTATACAAAGAAACCAAATAAAAGAAATTATATATTCATTGCTTCCAGCATGCAAAGAGCCTGACATTGACTCTGGAATTCCTTTCAAGGCAGATGCAATTATTGCTAATCCTCCAGCATATGGTTAGATAATGTGACTTGTTAGTCATTAACATGTTTTACGGGCTGCTCCAAGTTATTTAACTGGATAACAAGGAATGCCCTTGACACGATGCAATAAACGGAACTCATTATTTGTCATATATGACCATATTTTTACATATATAGAATGTCCGTTAATGTTGCGTATGTATGTGTGAGTATGCACAAATAGAACTTCTATTTTCATGCCCCGTCCTATTCTAAAGTGTCGTAAGTACTTCATTATTATCATATGGTGTCCCTGTTGTATTCTATACTGGAAAGCATGTGGTAAACTCACAAAATTGCAGATACCGACCGTCAAGTTAACTATGAAACTAAATGATTGATATCTTTTGTGAAAAATGTGAGCTCTGGTCCAATCACTTTGTATTAAGAGCTCTCACATACGGTCTCCTATCTATTCTGCTTCTGCTGCCTGTTTAAAAATGAGCTCTATCAACTGAACCGGCGATTACTGCAGGGCATACACATGTTGCTGAGGCGTTGAAAGTACCCATTCATATATTTTTTACAATGCCATGGACGTAAGTCTCCTGTAGATCATTTTGAGCGACATTGAGATATGTGTTCTATTCTTTTTGCTTACAAACAAATGAGTTCTGGTCGATGCCTTCATAAATCTGTCCTTTTTGTTAATGTTTGCCAGGCCTACAAGTGAATTTCCCCACCCGTTGTCTCGTGTTAAGCAATCAGCTGGATATAGAGTGCGTTTGAAGAATCTGTTTATTTTGTGTTTCTTTCAATGTCTTTGTCTATTGTGTGGCATCATTGTATTCCTTCCCTTTGTGACATCTTTTCTTGAATGATGTTGCAGTTATCGTATCAGATTGTTGACTCCTTGATTTGGCTAGGAATAAGAGACATGATAAATGATCTTAGGAAAAAAAAGCTGAAGCTGCGGCCAGTCACATATTTGAGTGGTTCTCAAGGGTCTGAGTCCGATATTCCACATGGATATATTTGGAGTCCTCACCTTGTTCCAAAACCCAAAGGTGGTCTCTTTTCATATGAAAACATCTTACCCTTAAATGTGCCAAGTAAATAAGCTGTATGTTGTAACTTTTAACCATGATTTGATTAGTTGTTGCTATTGAACTTCAGCTAGTGCTTGTGAGATCTGTTTTATCCTACTATTACTTTGTCATGCTTATGTCGTTAGTTGCTGATTGAGCTTATAGCCATTCTGTCTTGTAGATTGGGGACCCAAGGTTGACGTTGTTGGATTTTGCTTCCTTGATCTTGCGTCAAATTATGAACCACCTGAGTCACTTGTAAACTGGCTTAAAGTTGGTCCGAAGCCTATTTATATAGGGTTTGGCAGTCTTGTGAGTATCCCGAGCTCAGAGAGAAAGAACCTTTCTGTGTTTATTTGAAGAGAAATTGTATGATTTATGTCTTGGTGATATTTGATATGAAATTAACTTTTCTCGACCTCAGTCACTAAAGCATCATTAACGTGCTATTTGACGCTTACCGTCTCTTCTGTTTTGGGATTGATGCACAGTCATATTGGTTAATGCATTCTGAGCGTTTGAAAGAGACACTTTGTTTGACGGGAGCAATTGGAAACCCAAAATCGGGAAATTGAACTTGTCTGGTTTGATTATTTTGACAAAAGCCTTTTGAACTATAGTTAGTAGATTTGAAAGCACTGTCTTTGTTTATCACATCGCATACTTATTGGAGTTCTACCACTTATTCTTTTCCGATGATTAAACTACAAGCATTTCATGGAGTGGATACAGTACGTTGTGTTGTAATCTCACTATTTCTGATAGCTTTGAGTTTGATGTACTTCTCTTTTATGTTTTTCTCATCTATATCCTCAAATTTCAAGTTGGCATCATTATGTATTGTGGTTTTTTGATGATTTTTGTATTCTTGACTTTTCTTATTTTTTCTTTTCTACAGAAATTCTAGTGTTTTCCAACTGTAACCTTCTCTTCTTCTCTCTCAGCCTGTTCAAGAGCCTGAGAAAATGACGCAAATAATTGTTGAAGCTTTACAAATAACTAAACAAAGGGGAATTATTAACAAAGGCTGGGGTGGCCTTGGTAACTGTGAGTTTGCAATCCTTCTTTACTCTTTGTTACTCATGACTCATGACATTGGCATATATATTTATCTTGAATTAGGCTAATCCGAAATTCAATGTTTCTACAGTGGCAGAAGAAAAGGATTTTGTATACCTGCTAGATAACTGTCCCCATGACTGGCTTTTTTTGCAGTGTGCTGCTGTGGTGAGTTGTTTAGTTTAAGTTTTATGGTTCTCATTTATAATTTATTGCTTTTGTTTAGGGAGAAAATAGGAGCCTTTTGCTAGTTGGTGGGCCCTCTGGATATTTAGTGATTTTTCCAATTTGTTGGTCAGGTGCACCATGGCGGTGCTGGAACAACAGCTGCCGGTCTTAAAGCTGCGGTGAATATTCACAACAAGAGTGTTGTTAACTTATTTTGTATTGTGTTGTTACTCATTGACTGCTTTTATTCCATTTTTGTTGCCAAATGCAGTGCCCGACAACTATAGTCCCCTTTTTTGGTGACCAACCTTTCTGGGGAGAAAGAGTACATGCCAGAGGTGTAGGCCCTCCACCTATTCCGGTGGACGATTTTTCTCTTCAAAAGTTGGTCAATGCAATTAGAGTTATGCTAGACCCCGAGGTATTGATGAAGAAATCCCACATGAAGACACCGATAAATTCATTTTCTGCCAAACACTTCCTAAATTAAGCATAGTCGTTGCAAAAATTCCCAGTCAGTTTTAAAAATTCGAAATCCTCGTAACGTGATGAAGAAAATGGATGTATATTTTTAGTTATCGAATGTGAACCAACATTTGTTTTTCTCTTTGGGGCAGGTGAAGGAGCGTGTGGTACAACTTGCAAAGGCGATGGAGAATGAAGATGGGGTTACAGGAGCAGTGAATGCATTCTTTAAACATCTCCCTCGTAAAAAGGTAGAGCCTGATTTTGAACCTACGACGTCTCACTTCTTCTCCATTCGGAGATGCTTTGGCTGTTCCTAGATGTGTTAGGTGTAGATGTGTACAGAAAAAATATAATATTTGGTCTTTTCCACACTATGACGATTGCTGTAATTACATGCCATTATGTAATGTTTACACCAAATTATCTGTAGGGCTTTGGGGTTGTGCAGCATTTTCATTGGATGTTTTTTTTCCCTCCCAGACTAGCGACTATGTTTCACAACCTAATTTTATGGACATAATGCCTCTTGAGAAAGAATTAAATTTTAGATTTGGATATATGATGTGAATTAAATTTTAGATTTGGATATATGATGTGAATGTCAAATCGAAAATCGTTCATATATCATATCTGAAGAACATAATAGGAACTAACAAGTTATTAATTTGGTGTGCATTGTCAACAGAAGAGTGAGTGGTTTGATTCAGTTTAGAAACAAGTCTAATTAAGTAGGGTAGCAAACAATTGTGGAATGGATTTACTTTGCTTTTTTCTTCTTGTTTGTTTGTTTATAATGTTGAGACTGGGTAATGTCTTTCGACTTTGCATAGTTGTGAGGTGTTGAGTATACTCAATACCCGTGATGTCATGATTAGCTATTTTAAGTTGATTGCCGTGTTTTTGTAATCAGCATGCCACCTATGCGATGAACATATTAACATGTGCCCACCGTGAGTAGGTGATCATTTCTTGATTACGCCTGTAAACATAAGTTTGAGTTTAAACTTATTTTTATCGTCTGGGAATTTTTTTTTTTAAAACTAATTCCAAAGTAAGCTTTCAATTGAAAATTTACCGGCTGTTACCATGAATAAAAAAAAAATAAAAATGGTCCGATTCGTTTCTCGATTTTCAGATAAAGAATGACATGCACCCTAGAAAATAGAACTCAAATTCAATGTTCAAATGGGCAACGGACCATTATTTAAAACTGTAGGTGAAACCTGATAACCCTACAATAACTGCTCAATGGAACACACCTAATCTAAAAATTACCAATTAAAAATGAAAACAAGACAAAAGCAAACAAGTGAAATGAAAGGAAAAGCACCAAACTCAGCCTTGTGGAAGGTATACAAAACACCAACTGCTGGTCATCAATGTTACAGTGTTAGCGAGGATGTATTAATTTCACATTCCAAGTCTTTATTACTACAACATTTACCTCTCTCTGTTCTTACCAATCACTCTCAGCTTTTGCAGGTAAAAGTAATAGTAATAGAGGACCATTTTGCAATATTTTCTCTCTCTCATTCTCTCTTTTATCTCTTTATGTAATGTTCACATGTACTCATAAATTGAAACTCTGCTGCACTGTTCTGCATACGCACAAACATCTCTCTTCACATATTCCTTACCATGCAAACTGATACTCAACTCTCTCTCTCTCTCTCTCTCTCTCTCTCTCTCTATCTACACACACACACATTTTGTTTTATATTTATAAAATTCAGAGGGTTCCCAACTAAATTATAGAAGAACAAAGCCAAGCTTCAAACTCTAAAGCTTTGTACTTTAAATTATTTTCCCATCACCAAATAAAAATTCATGGAAGGTGAAAAGGTATATACGAAAGGGTCAGCAAATAAGGCAGATGGGCAGGAGGACAGATCCTTCCCCTGCCTCTACTGTTGTCGAAAGTTCCACACCTCACAAGCGTTGGGCGGCCACCAAAATGCGCACAAGAAAGAGAGAACCGCCGCCCTGAGGAGCAGGTGGACCTGCCAATACGCCGCCGTCCCCCCGCCGCCGCCGCCGCCTCACCTGTTCTTTCCTCCTATCGGTGTTCTAAACCCTTACCTCGCGGCTCATGGTGGGAGTCTCCGACAGTTGCAGGCGGCGGACGGCCGGTGTTTCGGGTCGAGTGCGGCGGCGCGGCTGGAGAACATCGTGATGAAGTTTTCCGAAGGGGAGTTCGTGGATTGGGAGAGGAGTGGGAGAGGGGAGGAAAATCAGCGGTCTGATTCGAGTAAAGGCGGTGCGGATCAGAAGCTCGATTTGTCTCTTCATTTGTGAAGGAGACGGGCGTTTTGTTATTCGATTTTGGTTTTACGCTTGAATTGCATTTGCATGCTTGTTGTCATTTGAATAATAAGTTGAGAAATGTGAGATATCCGCCATAATTTCTCGATTTGAATTCCTTCGTTGCTACTAAAACTACGATTGAGCCACGTTGTAAATTTAGAAATGGCTTTAGTTTCAAGAATAATTTGTGTTTCAGTCTAAATTTTAACTTAGTTAAATTTTAACTAGCCCATGGTAAAGAGTATAACCATAAACTAAGATTGATCAATATAAAAATAGTTTGAAAATTAATTTAATTTTCATTATTTATTTTATTTGTATGATATATAATATTTTAATATAGCATTTATGTATATATTTCACCCGTAGAGTTCGTGATTAGATTTAAGGAAAATGTAAATCTAATGTATTCAAACATATCAATAGATAACACTAATGTCGGTCTCGGGCGGAGTTGCAGGTGGTGGGTGCCCCTGGCGGTCTTCGGTGTTTGTTATGCCGCTGTTGGGGGGTTGTGGGCCTTCGACTTCTGGTTTCGCATTGGAGGCGAGTAGTGGCGGTGTTGGGTGGTGGTTGTGACCTTTGCTGCTGATTGTGGCCGTAGGGGTGGAGGATCTGCGGGCTACTTGTACATAGCAAATATGGGATTTTCGACCGTACTTATGCATTCACCCCATTAGTATGAAAAGGGAAAACAAGCTATTCATACTTTGGCTAGATTTCAGGATAAAGTGAGCTTTCCTATAGGGATGAGAATTTGGGATTATAGAACTGGGGAGTCAAAGAGCCGAGATGATACGATAACTAGCTCGACCCTGATGATTATGATTTCCATAAGCAAACAGGGCGAATATTAGATGAGCAACTTGTATATAAGAGATTGAATTCAATACTGAATTACTATTTACCACAACAATTTTACTAATACTGCACCCGAAAATACCTTTTTGCCCTTAGTAATAAAAAAATAAAAAAAATAAAATAAGCCGGCCAAAGCAGCCGGCTCCCTCCCCACTCTCATTCTCCCTCTTTCTTCTCTACTCTCTAAAAAGAAAATCAAACAACATTTTAATTAGCAAAAAATCGAAGAGAAATCGGAAAAATAGCCGGAGAACAACATCGACATGGCAAGGAGCGCGTGATTCCACCAGTAATTTTTAAAATTTTTCTTTTAAATGTGTCGGCCGCCTATCGCGGCCGGTCTTCGACCTCCCGCGGCCCGTATTATTATTTTATTTTTT